AACTATAGGAAGAAAAAGAAAAAGAAAAAGAAATAATTGCATGAATCTCCGCGTAAAATCAATGATATGAGGTTTAGATGTGCAATACTTAGGGCACATCTAGATGTGCTTTAGCAAAACCGATTCTAATACAGTGATCTTACGTCGAGATCCATGTGGATATTTTCTTTTTCTTTTTTCTTTTTCTCTTTATGTTTGATTCACTCACTTAGATGTGCAATAACTAGATTACATCTATATGTGTCCTAGACACACCCATTCTAATATTACACACACTTATATTAGTAACATGCCATATGTCTTTTTTTTGGCTGAATAACATGGCATATATGATAACCCATAAAATAAGGACGACGCTACGCGTTCGCCGGCGGATAAAGTTAAGAGATCGGTTGTCTCGGTGGCCATTGGATGAAGCTGCGGATGGCTGTGTGATCTACCCACGTGATCCATCATCTTTGCAATAAATGTGTTGTTGCGGTATATTCTGCAGCATAGGTCTAGTTGCATAAATTTTCACAACAAGTGTCATGTTGTAGAAACTTTTAAAACTATTTTCCCCTCAATTTGTTGCAACATGAGCCTTTTTGCAACAAGAGGCTTGTTGCAAAATCACCCTTGCAGAAGACAAAAATCAAGTGTAGATCCCACTCCATGCCGTCCAGCAGCAACTTCTGACGCGGGCGAGGTCGGGGACCACCAAGGGGCGGAGCTTTCCAAGGCAATGCGGCGTCGATATCGCCAGAGCTGCGTAGATCCAGCAGGAGGTGGCTCGGACGAGGTCTTCGGGCGGGCGGTGGAGAGGCGACCAATAGCCAAGGAGATGGAGCGCGCGTGAGAGAGGGTCGAGCCCGACGATAGAGGAGAGAAAAGTGGTGGAGAGAGGGGAGGGCCGATGAAGGAGGAGAGCATCACTACTAGGAAAAACCTTATATACATAAGCTTATCAGTAGTGCGGGCTAGAATGAGGCGATACTGCTCATTAGCAGTAGCGCGTGTATAGAAAGAAAGCCACTGCTATGCGGATAGCAGTAGCGCAACAAGAATAAAATGTGCTACAACTATACATGCCACACCGTTGCCAACAGGCTAGGTATAGTAGTAGCGCCCCTGTGTGAACCGTGCTACTGCTAACTAGATAGTAGTAACACCGGGCCGTGGCCCGCGCTGCTGCTAAGCCGGCCTTATCCCCCCGCCTCGCCCGTTTCCTCACTCTCCTATCTCACTGCCTCCGTCGTGGCCATCCCCCTCCTACCATCGCCGCCCGCGCTGCATTGCTGCCGACGTCGCCGCATTGCTGTCGACCTAGCCGCCATCCCCGGCCTCGATAAGTGTTAGGGCATATCTCTCTCTAAGTGGTTTTGGTGTTTGATGACAATGCATTTGCGGACTAATCGTGTGCGTTGAGCATTTAAGATATTCATTCATTGGCACGAGACGATTTATACCCCTCGGAGCTCAAAAGTGAAGACGGTGTAGTTCTCTTTTGTTTCGGTGGACTTGAGTCGTAGGAGATACCATACTATCAAGAGGGGGCCCGTATCGGAAAGGCTAGGGTGAAATCAACACGATTGGGTCCAATAGGTCTTGTAATAGCACTTTATTAGCTAATGAAACTTTATCTAGTGCAACAGGCGCTATTGTTCGGGATGGGAGAGGGAATTTCATTGTGGCTGCAACATGGTTTGTTCCTCATGTGGTCGGTGTGATTCTGCGGAGATGACAGCAATTCGGAATGGACTATATCTAGCAGAGAGAATCGGTTGCAACAAAGTGATCATTGAGTCCGATAGTAGCTAAGTGATCATTGATGGCTCAGATGTTGCAATGGTGCTCGAGTGCAAATAGTTAGCGATGGACTTCGTAAGTGTTTCTTACACACAGTGCCCACGTGAAGCAAATGAACACTAGTAGAAAAAGGTTCTAATGTGAAACTCATTAGTCCCGGTTTGTAATTGAACCGGCACTAATGTGACCATTAGTACCGGTTCCAATGGCTAGGCGGGCGACCCTCATTAGTACCGATTCGTGGTGAACCTTTAGTACCGGTTCGTGCCACAAACCGGTACTAAATAGGTGGTGGCCTTTAGTACGGGTTGGTGCCTCCAACCGGTACTAAAGGGGGGGGGGGGGTCTTTAGTACTGGTTGGAGCCACCAACCGATACTAAAGGTGATGCGCTGCCACCCGTAGTGCATAATGTTTAGTCCCACCTCGCTAGTTGAGAGGAGCTCGCACCGGTTTATAAGCCCCGCCGCGTCTACCGTGTCGAGCTCCTCTCTAAGCAGGCCTTTGTGGGCCTATTGCAAGTCTTCTGCCCTATGGGGCCTACTGGCCGTACGGGCCTGCATCCTGGCCCAACTAGAGATTGGGTTTCTAGTCGTATGCAGGCCGTGCCGGCCCAGTAGACGGGTTGTTGTTGCTTTATTTCAAATATAAAAATAAAAAAAATCCTTACCAACCGGGACTAAAGATCCTCCAGACCACGGCGCGCCTCGTGCCACGTGGTGGGCCTTTGGTCCGGGTTCGTGTTGAACCAGGACTAAGAAGGGGGGGCTTTAGTCCCCACTCTTTAGTGCCGGTTCCAGAACCGGTACTAAAGGTCCTTACGAACCGGTACTAAAAGTAGTTTTTCTCTACTAGTGGAAGTGGCTCATAGCCTAGCGAAGAACTCATTTGGTGAAAAATCCTATCTGTTTGAGGAATCTATAATCACTGATTTTATTTCTCATTCACTTATAAACGATATGTCCATTATATGAGGAATAAAATCAGTTGCTTTCAAAAAAAATGGCGATGGCGGATGAAACGGCTAGTCACTGACTAGCTTGTAAAACGAATAAGTTGTTAGGGAGATTGATAGGAACAGTACTGAACATACAATGTTCCCATTGATCAGTCTACTTGACACGATCAAGGCAGAGGCCAAGCGATGGCCGCGGGCGGGCACCAACGGACTAGATAGGATCATTCCCGTAGCTTGATCTATGTGTATTGGGGTTGAGAAACCCCCCTTCTCCGGCTCAACGGTATCTCAAATGCCGCCTCTCTCGAGGCATATTCGTGAAAAAGAAAGAAAAAACCCTAGATCGAGAGGAGAGGAACCTAACACAAGCCAAATATGTGCGCCGTTCTGGGAGCTTGCATGCCCCTTTTAATTTCTCTTGAATTTCAAGTAAAAAGAACAAGATCCTCACTGCTCAAACCTAGGTAGACAACCGATGTAAACATTAAACCCCAAATTTGAAACTTTAGAAGAAAAAAAGTTATAGCCTTCTTAGTTTTGTTCTACGATTTTCTTTTAGGGATCTACAAATTGGAATTAGGGCGACACGGGGGCGATCTCACGCCGCCGCCCCTCGTCGTCACCACGTTCCTCCTGTCCTCGCCGCTGCCAGAGGCTAGCGCCGGGCAGGCCCTGGGCGCAGCCAAGGAAGGTGGCGGCGGGGAGCTTCTCGCGCTCGGGCAGGTGCATGGATCGGATCCGCCAGATCCGTCCGGCCCGGGCATAGGGTTTGAGGCGGCGGCCTCTGCTGGTGAGGGCGGCGTCGTCCGGGAGGCGGGCCGCGCTCGCCGAAGTTGTGGACCGCGTCTTCTCGGCCGCGCGGGCGGCGAGTTGGCGGTGGATGCGGGCGCCACGTGGAGGGATCCCCTGCTGCTCTCCTTCGCCAGATTTGAAGACGGCGCCCCCGCGATGCTGCTTCCTCCTCGTCAATCCGGCCGGATCCGGTGGCGGACTGCGCGGATGTGGGGTTGAGATCTCTGGATCGGAGTAATTTCTTGGCCGGCTACGGCGGCCACGACGCCGGCCGCGCCCCAGGCGCTGTTTCCTTCTTGAAGGCGGCTTCGAGATCCAGCTCCCCCCCCCCCTCGTCCTCCCCTGCACCCGGGTGAAAACCCACAACTTTGGTTGGGCGGCGGCGGTGCCCGGCTCCGTCACCTTCTTGAAGGCGCCGCTTTGGGTCCGCAGGGAGGTGGGACAGCTGCAGCGCGTTCTTGGCGTTCCTGATGGCGGCGGTTCTCTTTAGTGGTGTCGCTTCGCCATGGCGGTCGGCTGGTCCGGCTCTCGTGGTGATTGTGGTGCCCAACTCTTCGCCGTGTCTTCCTGGGGTGCTCCCGTCCCGTTCAGAAAGGCTGGAGGTGGAGCGGCTTCATCTTGCACGGAGCTTCGGTGGAGATGTCAAGTCATGCCTGACCGACAGGTGCTACGCTTTGTCATGCCTGGTCGGCAGGTGCTACGCACGACAGATCTTCCAAAGACTTCAAGCTGTGTCGGCTGGTGGTACTTGGCAGCATGGTGCTGAGGTGTATCAGTAGCGACCGCGGCGTCCTCAGATGTTTGCGCGCAGGGAGGAGGTGCCGTTGGGCGCCGTGGTGGCGTCGACGATAGCTGGACCGAGCAAGGTTGATGCATTAGTACAATTCTGAAGATGGAGCGGTGGAAGTTGGTGGCGGCGGCCTCTGAGTGCACGCCGGACCGGTGAGACCCATGCCCGGCAGGCATCCTGGATGGGATCTCAGGTCTTAGATGTTAGGTTTAGCTGCGATGCCTGTTTGGTATTAGGCCCAGGCTATCTGCGCCCCTTCATCAACTGGATAGAGTGACTTAGACGGCGGCTTTAGTCTTACTGTTGTATTACTTTGTAAGGTCTTGTGAGAATAATTAATAAAGTGGCCGTATGCATCGCCCAGATGCAGAAGCCGGGGGTCATCCTCCTTTTCTAAAAAAATAAAAAAAAAATAAAAAAAAACAAATTGGAATTAATTTAGTTGTTAGAATGACTGGAGAACCTACCAGTGTACGTACTGAATGAAAACAATCAAAGGAAAGTGAACCAGTTTCAGAACAAAACCGCACGCATACAGTGAGAACTACGAAGAACCAATTTCTAGCACATTTGATACATTCTTTACATACCAGAACTAACGAGTACACCATCATGCACATAATCATACATCCAAGAGAGTATAGATGAGAGAACTGAGATACAGTACAAGTTTTCATCGGTATCTCAAAGAGCGCCACCGTCGGCGGTGGCGGGGCGCCGTGACCGCGACGGTGAGCAGCAGGACGAGGTCGTCCCGGACGTGGGTGTAGAGGGAGCCGAGGAGGTCGCAGAGCTCCGGCAGCAGCGCGGTGAGGTTACGGCCGGACGGCACCAAGGCGGGGAACGGGCAGAGCAGGAACCCCACCGCAAACAGCGTCGCCGGCGGCAGCATCGACGATCGATTTGTGCACTCCTTGTGTGAAGTGTAGCAAGCCACAGTATCCTCGCGATGCTGTTGCAAGCAGTCAGTGTGTGTGTATATAGAGGTGAGAGGGTCGTCGTTATCATTGGGTTGGGTGAGGCCGTGCTTGACTCGCAGGTGAGGAGAAAGTTAGCTGCGTTTCAGGGGCTGGGCAGCTCCGGTTCGCGTGGCCATCCTTGTGCGAGGCGGTGGCCCGGAGCACAACCAGTCGAGGTGAAGCCTACGTACGATAGTAGCACCAGAGTATGGTGATGCGTACTTGGCTCTGCCGAGTGCGTCCAGTGCCAAGTGCCATTTATCTTTTGCTGTTTCTGATGCAACGGGAAAAGGACATTTCTTTTTTCGGTCTTGCTAAATCTCAGTCGACTAAGACTCAAGTAAGTCTCAGTCCATGCTTATGTTCGTCAGATCTTGCATTAAAGATCTGTGCCAAATTTTCTTTTCAGGTTTTTCATTTTACTTTCTTACCAATACATGTTATATAACTTGACTATGACTTGATTAAATCTCAGTCAACTAAGATATAGCTACACCCTCTTTCTTTTTCAAATGGAAAAAGATATTCCCGAGGACCAAAAATGTAAAATAACAACACAACGTTAATATTCAGGCCAGAAGAAGGACTGCGCCAGTTACATGCTATTCTGTTAACTGGCGCCTACGCCTGAAGCCCCTCGTAGCGGGATTCGGCCTAGTTTTGAGAAGCTTCCAACGTTTATTTTTCCGTTTCTGGTTTACCTGGACCGGGTCTTGTCTACCATTTTTGTTTTGTTTTTTCATTTTTTTTCTTTCTCTTCTCTTTTCTTATTTTTCAGTTTTCTTTTTAAATTTGAAAACTTCTTCCAAATTAATGATTTTTTTATTTTTGTGAACCTTTCTTAAATTTTGAATTTTTCTAATTTCGCAAAAGCAAATCAATTTTGTGAGCATTTTCTTACAATTTATGATTTTTTATTTATTTCATACTTTTTCTGTTTATATGATCTTTTTTCACATTTTGTGAACTTTTTCCAAATTTTAGGACTTTTTAAATTTGTGAACCTTTTACCTTTCTTGAATTTTTTCTAATATATCTTTATTTCGGCGGAGTTTGGAGTGTCCAGGGGAAGGAGAAGCGAAGATAAGGATACCTGGTGGTGGAATGATGATGTCCAGAAGGCGCTTAAAGAGAAGAAAGATTGCTTCAGACGCCTATACCTGGATAGGAGTGCAGACAACATAGAGAAGTACAAGATGGCGAAGAAGGCCGCAAAGCGAGCTGTTGGTGAAGCAAGGGGTCGGGCATATGAGGACCTCTACCAACGGTTAGGCACGAAGGAAGGTGAAAGGGACATCTATAAGATGGCTAAGATCCGAGAGAGGAAGACGAGGGATATTGGCCAAGTCAAATGCATCAAGGACGGAGCAGGCCAACTCTTGGTGAAGGACGAAGAGATTAAGCATAGATGGCGGGAGTACTTCGACAAGCTGTTCAATGGGGAGAATGAGAGTTCTACCATTGAACTGAATGACTCCTTTGATGAGACCAGCATGCGTTTTGTGCGGCGCATCCAGGAGTCTGAGGTGAAGGAGGCTTTAAAAAGGATGAAAGGAGGCAAGGCGATGGGCCCTGATTGTATCCCCATTGAGGTGTGGAAAGGTCTCGGGGACATAGCGATAGTATGGCTAACCAAGCTTTTCAACCTCATTTTTCGGGCAAACAAGATGCCAGAAGAATGGAGACGAAGTATATTAGTATCAATCTTCAAGAACAAGGGGGATGTTCAGAGTTGTACTAATTACCGTGGAATTAAGCTGATGAGCCATACAATGAAGCTATGGGAGAGAGTCATTGAGCACCGCTTAAGAAGAATGACAAGCGTGACCAAAAATCAGTTTGGTTTCATGCCTGGGAGGTCGACCATGGAAGCCATTTTCTTGGTACGACAACTTATGGAGAGATATAGGGAGCATAAGAAAGACTTGCATATGGTGTTCATTGACTTGGAGAAGGCCTATGATAAGATACCGCGGAATGTCATGTGGTGGGCCTTGGAGAAACACAAAGTCCCAGCAAAGTACATTACCCTCATCAAGGACATGTACAATAATGTTGTGACAAGTGTTCGAACAAGTGATGTCGACACCGATGACTTCCCGATTAAGATAGGACTGCATCAGGGGTCAGCTTTGAGCCCTTATCTTTTTGCATTGGTGATGGATGAGGTCACAAGAGGTATACAAGGAGATATCCCATGGTGTATGCTCTTTGCGGATGATGTGGTGCTAGTTGACGATAGTCGGACGGGGGTAAATAGGAAGTTAGAGTTATGGAGACAAACCTTGGAATCGAAAGGGTTTAGGCTTAGTAGAACTAAAACCGAGTACATGATGTGCGGTTTCAGTACTACTAGCTGTGAGGAGGAGGAGGTTAGCCTTGATGGCCAGGTGGTACCTCGGAAGGACACCTTTCGGTATTTGGGGTCAATGTTGCAGGAGGATGGGGGTATTGATGAAGATGTGAACCATCGAATCAAAGCCGGATGGATGAAGTGGCACCAAGCTTCTGGCATTCTCTGTGACAAGAGAGTGCCACAAAAGCTAAAAGGCAAGTTCTATAGGACGGCGGTTCGACCCGCAATGTTGTATGGCGCGGAGTGTTGGCCGACTAAAAGGCGACATGTTCAACAGTTAGGTGTGGCGGAGATGCGTATGTTGAGATGGATGTGTGGCCACACGAGGAAGGATCGAGTCCGGAATGATGATATACGAGATAGAGTTGGGGTAGCACCAATTGAGGAGAAGCTTGTCCAACATCGTTTGAGATGGTTTGGGCATATTCAGCGCAGGCCTCCAGAAGCTCCAGTGCATAGCGGACCGCTAAAGCGTGCGGAGAATGTCAAGAGAGGGCGGGGTCGACCGATTTTGACATGGGAGGAGTCCGTTAAGAGAGACCTGAAGGATTGGAGTATCGACAAAGAGCTAGCTATGGACAGGAGTGCGTGGAAGCTTGCTATCCATGTGCCAGAGCCATGAGTTGGTTGCGAGATCTTATGGGTTTCACCTCTAGCCTACCCCAACTTGTTTGGGACTAAAGGCTTTGTTGTTGTTGTTGTATATCTTTATTTTGGCCTTTTTGAATTTTTTAAATACTTTTAACTCCCATTGTGAATGGTCTAGCAATCAACCGGTCAACTAAAAAAACCAAGAAAAAAAGTCTAGGCAAGGTAACAGTAGTCAGGGATTTAGATGGGCTAGCCCATACCTCTGTTTCAGGTGCTATAGAGACAAAATCTCACCTAAAGCGCTTTATAGGTGGTCTCCCATGGCCCCACACACCACCATGTGATCAAAACCTAGGCCACGTGGGCCGGCCACGTGGAAGCCCCTGTACCTCGTCTCCACCGCTAACTGGCACCCTGTCTCTATGTAAGCTCAAAAACCCTCAACATATTTTTATGCAATTTTTTTGCTGTCGTTTCTCTATGTTCCAAGACAATCTAATCTAGCCCTTTTCTGGCGAGAGAAAATTCGCCATCTTCGACTTCTCTATTGAGCCCTTGTTGCCCCCATGATGTTGAGGGAATAGTCCTCTCTCGGGGTTGAGCTTTTTGTAACTGTAGCTATGTGTCCTCTCTCTTTCTCCCTTGATCATGTGAGTTTTTGATCATAATTCTTATTATGGGTGTTATTAATGGAATTGAACTATATGGTTATCACCTATTATGAGTTTCTTTATGTGGGAATCATTCTTGCTCATGTTTGTGTATTGGACTTTTGAGAATAGTTAGATTATATGATGCATGTGTGGTATAATTTCACTAGTGCAGAACCGGGCAATAGCACCGGTTCGTAATGCCCTTTAGTCCCGGTTCAATAACCGACACTAAACTGTGGGCACTAAAGCCCCCCCCCTTTAGTACCGGTTCAGCATGAACCGATGCTAAAGGGCAACCACGTGGCACGAGGCAGCTCCGGGGGCAGGGAGCCCTTTAGTACTGGTTGGTGACACCAACCGGTATTAAAAGGTTGGGGGGTTTGGGGTTTATGATTTTTTTTCATTTAATTTTGTATTTTACATTTAATTTTTTTTCGTTTGCTAGTATTTTACGATGCTACATATTGTTTACGTTATGCATATATATAAATAGAATTTCTAGTAGAACCGATCATATATATATATATATATATATATATATATATATATATATATATATATATATATCGAATGTCTCACAACCACCATTAATTAATTCACACATATATACACACATGTATATATGTATACAATTAGCTAGCTATATACAATTTCTCCTAATTGGTGCCTTCGGAGCCAGTGGCATTAGCCTAATTGGTGCCTTCGGAGCACGATGACAATTGGAAGTGGTTCATGGGGCGGTAGCGGGTAAAAGTATTCTCCTTTGGGATCTATGACCTGGTCGAGCAAAAATCCCGCTATTTCCTCTTGAATTGCTTCTATGCGGTCCTCTGCTAGGAGCTTCTCCCGCACCTCTTTGAACTGTTAAGAAAGAGATCAATATGCATGTGTATTAGTTGTGTGACTAGATATCGATAATGGTGTAAAAATTGTGAATAATGTTCTGACAAACGTACCCACTCCTGTCTTTGAGATCTGCTCCTTTCGGACGCCATCATGCGAATGTTCTCGCAAACGTAGTATGCACACAGATTATTCCCCGGCGCCTGCTTCAGGGCCTTTACGAGAATGGAATTTGATCAGATAATAATTAATCAAGCATGATAATTAAAGAGATGGCAGCTAACTAGTACTACTTAATTACTTACCTTGGGTCGATACCATTTCAGATTTCGTTTCCATTGGCCTGGAGTGACGCTGCTGAACTTTGCCCAAGCTCTGCCCGCCGACAAAGAAAATGAATAAATGGGTTATTAAATAGGTGTTATCAGGAAATGACGAACTAATTAAATAGGCCGAGATATAGTTAATAATGACTGAAATTACCTGTTGA